TTATAACAATATTACATATACACTGAATACTATCACATTTAACTTTATTTTAATCGTAATCTATTAAGAATATATTTCATTAATATTACAAGTATTAATAGTACCTCTAAAATCGTTCCCAGAAAAAAATACAATAATTGTAATTTTTTATCTTTCTTTTAAAATTTTAATGTTATTATTTTAATAATTTTTTTTAATAAAGTGACAAATACATATTGATTAATACTTTATAATAGTATTTTTCCTATTTATTACTTAATTTTTATTTTAAATTTATACACCTATAATTGCTTTCTACACATTTCGTATATAGCTTCCTCTTGATTTTGCAAGCATTATCATTTAGTCGATCATGTATTTATTTTTATATTACATTTACACATTGATAAAAAGCACCTAACAACAGCGCACTTACAACGACCGTTTTTAAATGCGTTTCCATTGTCTGATTTGTATGAATTATCAAATTACTATTAATATGTCCAACATTATTTATGCATAGGCACTGATTTGTATTCAATTAATTGCTCGTCTTTAATCTCGGTCGTGCAAAAATATACCACACACATTTCACTTTTATCACCTGCGCATTTGCAACACGGACATATTTTAATAATGTTATTGGACTTGGCATGTATGTCGTTCAGGGGGTCAGACTCGGGCAGTCTGGGAGGACGTCACAGGCTCGACGCCGTTGACCTTTGTGAAAGATTGCGTTTCCTTCACCACCACAGTTTCCGCCCGCTTCTGGTTAATGGACTGCCGTAACATTTCCGACGCCACGAAAATGGCCACGGAACTATACACGCACGCGACACATGTGCCCTTCATGGCTAAGTACGTTTCGACTGAAGTAACGTGACACATATAAATTTTCAGTAATAAATTACATAGATGCAAATTATACAGGAAGTAATTACTTTGATACTTACTTTACGATAGATTCGTCGTGTTTGCAAAACGAGTAGATCCATTGGAAGCGAGACTACGTGTATTCTGTATGACGGACGACAAAGAAGATAAAACTTTAGAGCATCAAGAACATTTTACAGAAGTTGCAAAGAGTAGAGATGTCGAGGTAACTATCGACAATAAAAATGCCGTTAAAGTGTTATGCCGTTCATGAGTTATATGTAGCTTCTTAGTTACTTAAGATGTTATTAAATCTTTTTTAATGCTGTAGGTTCTTGAAGGTAAAACGCAATACATGGAATTTTCGGGAAATCTTGTACCCGTTCTGAAAACGGGTGAACAGCTACAATTACCGTTTAGAGCTTTCAAGGAAAATAGAGTTCCGTTTACCGCGAGAATAAAAGATCCGGATGCCGCTGATATGATGGGTCGAATCATGTTTATGAGCGAACCTAAGGTTCCGAGAGGTGAACTGCCGCAAACGCCAATCTGCACACTAAATATTTTGCTGCCGGAAAAAATTTCTCCGGATACCGCGGTCTCTGAGCTTGATTTGTTGGAATTGTCAAAGAACTACAGTTTCCTACGCGATGGTGGAATAAGTATGTGTAAATTATAACAATAATGTGTGTGATGTAATAAAATGAAAATTAATTATTAATGACATTTGTTATCAAAATTTTCTATTTTACACGTCAAATATTATTTTTAGGCAGACCAGATGCAATACATAGAGCGACCATTCGATTAACAGACATCGCCAATCTATTGGATAAAGATTGGGAACCACTAGCGGAAGAGTTGAATATCCCACCTAACGACGTGGCTTTAATAAAACAAGAATATCCCGATAAACCTGCACAACAGGCCGCTGCCATGTTCAAAATCTGGCAAAATAGTGGAAACAAAGCCACAGGTAAAACATTATGTAATTTATTTATCTTTACATCATCAAAACGTAACATGTTAATTTTCGGTGAATAAGAGTTGCGATAGCTTGCCTTGATAACTCTAAAAAAAACCTGTTTCCCAGCAAGGTCGATTAATTAGACGCGCGCTATAGTTGAGTCAGGCGTGAGGAATCTTTTCTAGCAACGTAGATATGTGATGATCTCATTGTGCATTATTATGCCTGACATAAGTCTACACGCTTCGTTCCCTCTCTTTCCTTCCTGCTAATGGCATTGACTCACACATAACTCACGGTGTTTCTGCAATCAGCAGAAATAACAAGTGGTCGTGATTCCGCAGTACGTGATCGGCAGTCGTGCAGTGAAAGTGATTAAATTCTGCCACTTCTTTATTTGCACCGATTTTACGTATCGCCGAATACACGTATTTATGTGAATCTGTATTGCCGAGATTATTTAATATTTTTTCGATACATTCTCGCGGAAAAATTTTCGGGAAAATAATACATGTTTTAAGACTGTTCTGTTTCAAATTTGTTAAATTTTAATTAATTTGATTTAAAAAAATATATAAATATATAAATAGGAAAAGGAAAACGATGTTTATAACTTTATATCAAGAATATGAAAATCATAATCATTATACAAGCGAACTTCTAATAATATTTCGAAGATATCCTTACTTATGTTCGCAAAATGCAATACATTCAGGTCTGTGTAAAATTAAAAAAAATTAAATAAGAATATAATTATAATGATACAATCTAATGATACAATATTTATATAAATTTTAATGATACAAATATCGAAGCCTTGTAAATGTATCCTTGCTTTTAAAACTATTTAACACTTGTAATATTTAAAATACATATAAAACAGTTTGTAACATTACTAGTATATTAAAATAAATATTAATAATATATTGATTTGTAATGTATTTAAATATAAAATTTATATTGATAATTGAAATATCACGTGACGTCCTTTATTTGCAGGAAACACGTTAGAAAAAGCTCTCAATAAGATCGGACGAGAAGATATAGTAAACAAATGTATCTTCAATGTTGAGTTAGTGACTGACGACGTTGAAAAAGCTGTGGCGAGAGTCAGACTGGATCAGCCAGGATTTGATTCTCTTAAGGAGGAATTGGGACCGTCAAGAAACACGTCACTCCGCCGTGATGCAACTATGGATCCTAAAATGGACCCTGATTATGAAGAGTCTGACAGAATGAAGGTACGCACTTTATGCAAATCTGAGAGGAATCTACATGCATAATTGTAATATAATTCAAATCGTCATGCGACAAAACAAATTATCATTAATAAAAGATGCTATTTTATCGTTTAACCTTATTCTCGTTATCTAACGAATACTATTATTGAGCACAATTGAAGAAGATACTATCCGTTCACTTTATATCTCGTAATAGTTCTTTTATGTATGCTACAACAGTTAAAAGGCTTATACATAACAGTAATTTACTCAAATAACTACTTCTCCAAGAGCGTGGGATTCTCATAATCATCACCAAGATAAAGCGCAATTCTCTCTTTATTCCAGGACTCTGAATCAATGGAGGATCTCAGTATCACTGGCACACACGATAAACGTAAGTACAAATAATAATATATTATATACTATAAATTTAATTTTATTATTACTCGCTCTTGCATTGCGTTTTAACATTACATGTACAATTTGTCAAAAATTATTCAATATTATACATTTTTCTTCTATTATACTACAATACATACTGCAATAAAAAATGTGACGTCACGGCTCACAATACCTGAATGAATGATGCACGCTACACTATAACGCGTGTTATACAGTTGTCAAATACACAGAACGAACACTTTTACTCGTGCTTACTTAGAAAACATGTTAGTCAACGCTTGCCGAGCAATTTTACTGTGGCCACATATATCCGTTACATTCGTCATGCAATGTCTCACATTCAGCTCGTGTTACCTCCGTGTCTCTTCGTTTACGCATTTTCTGCACTTCACAGCCAAAGAGCACATCACAATCACAAACGGCACTGTATTCAACGGAACCTCGACCCCCATCAAAGACAAATATGCGAGCGACGAGAAAGAGCTCAGCGACATGATGGCTGATTACCTTGAGCACAAATGCCATACGACCGACACGATGAGCAAAAAGTCGCGCGACGAAGTGGACGATCCGGAGAAAAAACGTCAGAAAGCGATCGCCGACGCCAACAAGATAGTCTCTGGTAAGTGAGCTTGAAAGCGATTGGAATGAACGGTGCGGGTTGAGGGGCCGTGCTTATAATACTACTGGCAAAGAATCGGCAGCCGTTAATCGAGTTTTAGCGGAGTTACGTCGCCAAATCGAGATTTACGCATTTATACATACATATATTATAAATTCAGCAGCATGATTGGATTAATGCTGCGGGCGCACGCTTGATCCTAAGGGATCGATTTACTCGTATTAACCATGTGTCGACGAACTGCGTTTCGCCGAACTCGCTAAACCTCATTAGATCGGAGATATCTTTTTTTTTAGTGATATCGTGTTCATAGTTATGAAGTTTACTCGCTTAAAAATTTTTAAATAATGCACGAGATGTACAACTATATTTCTCAAATAGCTTTATATATTTATTTGCGCGTTTAGCATTATTGTCTTTTCTCTTATTGATACTATTTTTCGGTGAATTTTCTTATACATTCCTGTAGACGAATATTATTTCTTCATTTGTAAAAATGATACATGTTATGCAGTTATGTCGCAACAAATGCACATAATCACTTTTAATTGTATTGGCGTATAGACTATTATATGCCAATAACGTAGTTTCTAAGCAGCTATATTTCAATGCTAATCTATTTCGTACATTGAATTTTCACTTGTGACTTATTATCGTCATTTATGATGCAAGCTTTAATTTTTTTGTACGTAAGTATTCAATCAACAGTGTGCACGATCTTATTTCAGCGAAACGTTGCGGTTGAATAAATGCTAATACAATGAATAAGGAATATTATTATTATTATTATTATGATTGTGGACACGATTCACGTCAATGCATAAAATTTGTCTCAGCTTATAAAGAACAAACGTACGTTTGCAGAGTGCAAGTAACGTATGTGAGCACTAAACATTTGTCTCTATGCCGTCCACTCACAGGTTCTGGAAGCCAATGCGGATCTCTTCAGAATTTTACCAGCTTGCTTTTATTTTAATATAAATAATAACGGATTATTTTATTTCGGCCTATCTCAAACAGCTATTACTTATACTCGTATATTATATACAATAATTTTTATATCTCATTTAATCATCCCCACTAATATCCTTAATATTTCGCGAACACTTTTAGATTAATTTGTTTCAGCAAGGTTTCGCTGCAATTATTTGGCGTTGCATGAATGGCCAATATGTGGGCCTAATTGTGTGCGCGCACGGAGCAGCTGTCATTAGAAAAGATCGTTGTCGCGTAGGCCATCAGAATACAGTTTTCTTTACTTATAATATAACTGATAGATTAAAAATTACTAAAGTCATTACTAATAGCAATTGACTGTTGTTGTTACTTAAAACAGTAATCAAGAGTTCTTTGTGAAGCTGATATGTTGAATTTATATTCCCTAACAGCTTCATTTTAGTACCTTTAGCATACATTTCATAGTTAATATTATAATACTAATTGTAGTAATTTCACAGAAAAACATTTCGAAATTGCAAGCTACTGAGAACGTTTCAATGCAATTTATTGAAAAATCATAGTACGTATGTACGTTGCACCAATATTGATCGTTGGTAGTAATTGATGTTACTTCTCCTTCTTGAATCACATTTGCCTTGCGTATATAACGATGTAGTGAGAAGATGGCTGCTCCACAGCACATACACTCTACGCACAAACCACACTACTACAGTCTAACCGCAGTTCAATCAAAAGAGCAATCAAAGAGCGAGCCAGCTTACACTAATGATGACGAAATTGACAATAAAATTGTGTTCCTTTATTTTGCTACCACGTATACAGATGCCTAAAATATATTATACTTAATTAACAGGTGTAATAGCAGACGCAGAGAAAGAGAAGGGGAAGTTAGCGAAGGAAGGGTGGTCGGTGGTTTATGATGATGATGATGATGCGCGGGACAATAAAGAGGCGCGGGGTGCAATAGGGCAGACTGTAATTAATGTTCATTTAGATCAAGTGACTACCGAGCCAGAAGGTTTTGTTCCCAAATTAGAGCAAATTCCTAGTATTGAACCGCCGATGATTAAACAACATCGTGGTGGGACGCCGGATCCCAAAGTTAGCACTTCAAAAACAGTTTCTGTTAGTGGCGATCCGAAAGTAGGTCAGACAGTAGTAACTAAGACTACGGTAATAAAACAGACTCCGACTGAGACCGTGACTACGAAAGAAACGGTAATAGTTTCCCCCGATAAAAAAGAAGTTGTTAGCGAGAAAGAGAAATTATCTAAAGAGGGTAAGGAAGTTGACGAAAAGTTGGGCGCAGTTCCTACGGACGCGATTGTTACGCAAAAAACGGTAAAGGTCGACACAGTAGTTCGAACTGATCAAAAGAAGTCAGAAATAAAAACTCCAGCAGACAGGAATAAAGATAAAGATAAGGAGAAGGAGAAGGATAAAGAGACCGTTCGGAAGATTGCGAAAACGGCTTATGAAGATGTTTACAACGTACCGCATTTGGCAGACAGCACGGAAGAAAAATCAGACGAAGAGAAGAAAACAAAGGATAAGAGCGGCGGAATTTTTTCGGGAATTTTTAAAGGCTCCAAATTGAAGAGAGGCAAGAAAGGTTCAAAGGACACGTCCTTTGACAGTGGTGACGAGGAATCGAAGGCTGTACTAACGAAAGTTTCTGAACAGCAGCCAGAATTTCCTTCTACCGAAGTAACGGATTCGCATTTTGACAGCAGATTACCAGAAATCACAACTGCACCCGATGTAAGATTAGCTACTATGGAATTTTTAGAAGATTCTCGACGAATCGCTGCAGGCATGCATGTACCTTACGAAGGTCTGACTAAGTCAATGGAGAAAGAAGACAAAAAAACAGAGGCTACTGAGACCGATGATGACGGTAAAGATAAGACAAGCTTCTTCTCGAGTTTGTTCAAAAGTAAGTCTAAAAAAGATGAAGATGGATCTGTCTTACCTGTTATTCATGTTGAGAAACCTAAAGAATCCGCAGAACAAATCGCAAAAAAAGAGAAGAAAAAGCTGGCAGCAATCGCAAAGGAAAGCGAGGAATTATTGGAATTACAAATGAAGGAAAAGGAGAAAGAGATCGAAGCATCTCAGATTGTCGAAGTGCCTAACATAATCGAAAAAGAAACAGAAAAAGCTGTGAAAAAAGCTGTGACTGGCGCGAAAGTCATCGAGGATACCAAAAGCAAAGCAAAAATTATTTCAACGGATGAGCCACCTAGTAAGGATGACGAAAAGGAAGAAGATCAAGTAAAGGAAAAGAGTGGCTTCTTCGGCATCTTTAAAAGTCCAAAATCCAAGGACAAAAAGCTTAAATCGAAGGAAACATCTTTTGATAGCGGCGATGAGGAAATCAAAGTTGTAACGGAGAAACTCTTGGATGATACGCGGAAGGTTGCTGATTCTAGTGTGTTACCGATTGTGTACAAAAGCGACGGCACAAAAGTCACTCCCAAAGAAGAGATACGTACTTTCGTATCGACCACTCATTACGACGATATTCCTGCGGATAAAGTCAGTAAATCTTACGATGTTGCACAAACCACGATAAAGATCGAGGAGACTATCCACGAAGAGGTAAACGGAAAAGCGGACATTGACAAGGAGAAAATTCAGAAGGAAGAAAAAAAAGATATCGAAAAACCTATTACAGAAATAAAATCCGATATGTCGGAATCAAAAGCACTCGAGAAAGAGATAGGTGATGATATCAAAGAAAAGAGTGGCGGCTTTTTCGGTATGTTTAAGAGCCCGAAACTCAAAAGCAAAAAAAGAAGCAGATCCCGAGAGCATAGTTCTTCGAAGGAGACCTCTTTTGATAGCGGAGACGAAGACATTCGATTGGCAACGGCGAAACTTCTAGAAGACACAATACAGATAGCAGAAAACTTGAAGCAAGCTGAAGAAGAGTTACCAGAGAGTGTTACAAGAATTCCGCCTATAGATGAGAAGATAAAAAAATCTATCATTCCCGAAGATGAAGCTATTGAAAAAGATAAGGGAAGCGGCATTTTCGGTATATTTAGAAGTCCCAAACAAGCGAGAAGTTCCAGATCCAGAAGTAGATCTAAGGAGAAGACACCGTCGCTCGAATTGCCAGATAGTGGCCACGAAGACTTACGAAAAGTAACTGCAGCGTTCCTGGAAGATTCACAGAATGTGGCGAATATCATGGGCGAATTGAAAGATTCGAAAGATAAAGATGATAAATTATCAACAGAGATAAAAAAAGTTGACCAGCACATCACAATTGCAGCAGAAGACGTTAGTAAAGCCGTCAAGGATGGTAAAGACGTGATTGCCAAAAAAATAGAAGAGAAAACACGCGATGTCGTCGACAGCGGTGAAGCTGCAAAAGACAAAACGACTAAAGAAGCAAAGAAAGCGAAAGACAAAGGTACAGGATTCCTATCGGGGATATTTAAAGGTGCGAAGCATGTCGTAGAGGAAACATCCGACGACATTAAGGAATTCTTGGACGATACGAAAAAAGAAGCTGCTTTAGAGGAAGTACGAGCCAAAGAAGCGGCAGCCACTGGCTTGAAAGATCTGGAAGCGAAAAAAGATGCTTTAGTAACAGACGCGAAGGACATTGCTGACAGAACTGTTACCGACATTAAAGAATCCAAAGATAAGACAGTGTCCATTGCGAAGAGAAAGAAAGAAAAAGTCTCGGAGAAGATTTCGACAGACATAGAGAAAGCAACGGATCAAGCAAAAGCAACTACTGAAAAAGCTGTAATGTGTGATACGAAGAAAGTAGGTGAAAAAATAGAAAGCACTGCGAAAGATGCT